CCTTGGGAGACACCGCGAAGAATTGTTCCCGCGGATACTGTTACACGTGAAGAATACCTTCCTCCCCCACTAATTATAAGGCGCGAGAGAAAATTAATAGAAGAGATTTTTAGTATAAATATCGGTCCTTCAGGGGACTCGGCTTAGTATAAGGATAGTTTTAGTCTGATTGTTTGATAGTCTGATAGTCTGATGAAAATATGTTGACAGACTGACTTCCTCATTCTCACTGTTTTATTTATTAAATTAACATTGATTTAACTTGTTGATTCGAATTGGTTGATCGGTCTGTTTCAACGGCACTAATTTATTATTTAATAAAGTTAGGATTTGGTTTATTATTCAAAAGGTTTTCATTCGAACATCCTCTAATTCTCATTCGAAGATCGCTGCCAAAGAGTGTGGCGAACTGATTTCTAATTCTCTACTGATCGCTGCCAAAGAGTGTGGCAAACTGACTCCTAATTCCTTACTGATCGCTGCCGAAGAGTGTGGCGACCTGACTCCTAATTCCTTACTGATCGCTGCCGAAGAGTGTGGGGGACAGAATCCTAACTCTGATGCCCGAAACCGAGGGGGAAACCGCTGACCAAATTTTTTACACCAATGCCCACTAATGCCCAGTGGGCTCTACCTTATCTTATTAACTTATTTTATCTTATTTTATCTTTATAATGCCTCAGAAAGGCCCAATGCCCAAACTAGAACTCAAAAAATGCCTAGTAATGCCGCAAATCTGTACACCACAATGCCCTCAGCGGTTTACCCCTCGCCCAAAACCAAGGGAGGAAGACGCGCGTGAAACAAAAACGTTTACGTTATCAGATTAAGAAGGCGATAGAATTCGGGAGAAATCCCATTCCATTACAACTACAATACCATAATTTTGAAAACCTGAGTAAAGATTTAGCTCAACAAACAAATAATTATTATCTTATTCCGTTTAAATTAAAAATGAATTATCCAAATTACAAATTAATTATTAAAACTGATCCTCGTTATTTAATCTATAAAATACGTTATCTTATTGGTCCAGAAATTAATTAATTCGCACAATTAAATCCAATCCCCGGTAAAACACTTAAATGTCTTGACCGAAAAACGGACACGGCTACTATTTTGACATACTGAAACGTGACAATACATTATAAAGATCATATTCATCTATAATCGCCTTTAGAATTACAATTTTAAACCTGAATTGAATGGTATAGTAGCTCTTTTCAAGTAGAAATCTGGTCGTTTATTTAAAGATTGGCCAACTAAAATAAATTTGCGCGCAAATAAATTAAATCGTAATCATTTTAACCGAATTAATCGTTCTTTGGTCACTATCGAATCACTTCTTCATGCACATCTCGCGAATTTATTTAGTTTTCTTCCTAATTCAAGTTTTATCTCGGCACGAAGTGGCTTTCCCGATCCAATAAAGTGCGCCGCGTTAATTATCGGAATTTCGAGGGGTAATTCATTAATATCGCTCTCTGGCGATGCTGCACGAATCGATACCGCTGCCGCAAGAAAGTGAGAGAGTAAGAGAGAGGGAGAGTGAGTGAGTGACTGACAGAGAGACAAACAGAGATAGAGAGAAAGAGAGAGCTTTTCTTCTAATAAAAAGCCAATAAGGTGTTGATAATAACTTTGGCGTTTATCGTGGCACCTTCTGCAACACGCTTTCGTGCATTGCCAATGTCACTGTTACGCGCATTGACCACGGACAAGGGAAAAAAGTCCTCTCGGACGAAAGTAATAGTGCGGTGTGCGGCTTCGCGGAGAGCGCCGGCACTCGCTCGGCCGCTCTATCAAAATTACTTGGCGGTGTTCGACTTTTCGTCGCCATCAATCTTTCCTGGTTTGACTGCTAACGCGATAATGCAGTTACGCCGCGCGCCAGGATCGGACGGATATACGGACCGGCCAGCCCGTCGAATTCGTCATAAATAATTGAATTAAAAGCAACGACGTTGTAAGTGAATTTGCGGATCACCCAACCGGTGGGATTTCTGAGTGATTTCACCTAGATTCGCGACAGCTTCGTTTGTGGCATTTGAAATTTCACAGAAAATCACCTCTTATCATCCCGGAGCCCCGGAGATAATCGCTCTCTTCGGAATGTTGCGTTAGCCTGGAAAGAAACACGCTGACTCCTTTACCACCCCTTACCACCATTTATAATATATCCAATGGACTGATATGAACATATCGAATTCTTACGTTTGAAATATCTACAACAGAGAACTGGCTTTTGTAAATTATCACGAAATTTCAAAAATATAAGTAAATTTGTCTAATTACTAAAAAGATTGGCACAAAACGTTCCAATAATCAATAAAATTAATATACAATAACAATGCCAAGAATGTAAGAAGTTGCCTTTTGAGGTCGTAAATCCAGTTTGTTTAATAGACATCATTGCTAATATATTGGTATATTAATATAAATATATTGAAAGAAACAATAAATTTAAAATTTATGAATTAACTACATCACGAAATATTATTTTCCTACATTTCAAGCGGTTGATGTCAAATTAAGTGAGTCATAAAGCTGATATTTTCTCATACGAAATTATAACGACTTTGTAAATTACTTAACGATTGAATAACATTTGCTAATAATATAATTTAATTATTTTAACTTGTGGTTTATCAGTTAAATTTCATTAAAATTGAGAAGCTCGGCGCTTTACAAACACAAGCGAGTTGTTGTTTTGCGGTGAAATTTCGCGACGTTAGCGCGATATCTTGTATTGCAATTTAGGAATCGTAATTAAACGATACGATGGTCGAATTGTATAAAATAATAGCGAACAAATTAATTAATCGCTCCGGCAAACATTTCCGAAATTGGAAATCCGAATAAACTACGTAAACGCACAGGCACACCATTGTCAGTGTAAAAGAAAACAATACAATGCCTCAATGGAAGTTAAATTTCGTATAAACCATAGATTACGAATGTATCGATCATGTGTCATCAAAATCTGTCGGACGTCGCGCTGATGCGAGGGTTTAAAATAGAAACTTCGGCAGGGCCATTATTGCGTTCGACAACACTGAACAATGGTCGATTTTCGGTCATTGACATCCGATTCTATAAATTCCACAATGACGAGGAAGGCTGTGATGGCTGATACCGTGCGAGCTTAGTTCCCTGCTTTTACGTGAAAGTTCCTAAGCCTCCCCCTGCCCCTCCCCCTCCCTGCACAGAATCGCCGTCGTTGTAAGGATGTCCTTTCGAATTGGGGCGGATTTGTCGCGGTCATCGGCTTTTTGCTGGCATCAATCTTGCACGCTCTTGCGAGCGATTTAGCGTATCGATGCCGAGCCATCGAATACAAGATGATGCAATAGTGACGCGCGGAAGAGATGGCCGCAGCGCCGCTTTTGCTCTTCCATCTTATTATGAAATATTGATGGTCGATCGAAATAGGGATGACGAGGGATAAAATCGATCTCTCTCGGAGGGAAGTCGCAGCCTTGATAAAGACATCTCCAGAGCGGGCGCCATTATTGCGTCTATCTGTATCCAATACGAGCCCGTCGTTTCCGTGGAATCGCATACCGATTGCCGCGCTCTCAGCAGGGTTCAATGCGTCGCGATCATCGATCGCCTTACCGCCCCGAAGCGTCAGGGTGGATGTGCGAAAGGAGGCCATTACGCTCGTGTACATGAATAAATTTGTATGGGGTTGTTCTATGGTTACACGGACAAGATTAACCATGTACCACGTTCGTGTTGCTATTGCGTACGCATTAGCATAACTTCTCATACGTAGGCATTATCCCTACGTAAATGATAAACGATAAAGCGCCATAAAGTAAAAGCATATCCTTAATGTCTTTTAATTAAAATATATATGTCGCGCGTAACTGCTAGCAATTCGCCGGCAAGTATTCCTGATAAAAACTAGGAAAAGGGAGAACTTGTCTCAAATTTTCTACCTTCTACTGCTTCTTTCTCGATTCAAAGAAACAATAACGACGCAACTTGATACGCTTAGACGTCTCGCTGAGCGAAGAAGAAAGCTATATTTGCTATATTTGCTAATGAGTGCGTTCCGGCAAGACATTGCTACTATAGCGCTACGGTAGCGCTACACGAGTGCGTTTCGGCAAAACTTTCCGCTAAAACCGCAGCGGCTGCCATTTTTCATAATTGCTCAAGGATTGCTAGGAACAATATGTCATTCATGAGCCAATCTTCAATATTTTCCATTCTATTCGTTTCAATTCATTGGTAAACGCGACTCTTACAATTAAAATACAATTTTGAGGTTATGCACGCTAACGTAAGTATGGCGCTGACTACGATTGTAGCAAAAAAGCTGTAGCGCTACGGTAGCAGTGTCTTGCCGGAACGTACTCAATGTAATCGATAAAATTTTAATGTACAAAAATGTTTTTAACAAAATTTACTTGCTTTTTCCCGTAGAATTCAACCATCTAACATTTTATAGGGGTCCCGTTTGAAATTGCAAAGTTAAAGGGGGGGGGGGGAGGGCAGGGAGTTAACTTCATATTTATGTAGTTAGAAAGGCCCCTCGAATAAAACTTTCTCAAGAACAACTGTTTGATTTGACAAATAGTTTCCGAAATATTCAGCTGTTAAGAGTTATGTGGGCCACCCTGTATATAACTGAACATTCGCATCGGTGGGCAAGATTTAAAATAAATTTTGATGCGTCTCGGAGTACATAAATGTATCGTCGCAAGTTATATTTCACCTCGTAACATCGTCACACGATAGCTTCACGTGCAAGCATAAATTTCACGTCACGCTTTTCCTTTATGAGATGCGCGCGAAAGCGCGATAAGAATCTTGAGGGGAGAATCGTGTCGGCCAAAAGAGGCACAATAATCATTCTCGAGAGAAATCGGCCCATCGTTACTTGAAAGCTCCGATTCGCGACTCGATTCGCCCATTCGTCGAAAATCGGTCGCCTCTTTTAAGAGGTTCTCGCGTCGACAGCGCAAAGGGTTACACAGTTGCTTTCTTACCTCGGCATCGGAAACGGTCCTCTCCGCCAAATTGCGAACTTTGCAGTGCAGAAAGGCGGTGCCGCCCAATTGCACCGTGACGTTAGAGACGGTGTTGTTGTCGTTCGCCTCGTTCACTCTCTGCAGCTCGTCGAGATTGCTGAACCAAAGGGCCTTCCAATCCGACGGGATGTTGTAGGGCACGCGTCGATCTGCGGGAAGAAGGATGACCAGGGGGTATAATCACGGTAATTTAATTAAGTCGACTGTCTCAGCGAGGGGGAAACTCGACAAACGACGCCGCAATTACCGGGCGAGGCTATCGCTGTACCTGGGCTGCCCCGCCGCTGGCAGCCAACTTTTTTATCAAGACGAAGAAAAATAGAAGTTATAAAGGCGCGGGCACGGCGGAACGCCGGGGGAAAACAAACGCGGAACCGAGCCTGAAATTCCGCTTGTTTTACCCCCGACCCTCGTGAATTAGAAACTACTTTCCGCGCTCTCGAGCCCTTTCTGAATTACCTTGTTATTAAATTTTTTAGGGAGACGACCTGTGCTCCCGCGCGCTCCGCTCATTCCTTTCGATGTAAATCACCGGGGAAATGTGCTGTACGAGTTATGGGGCAGTTTGCACATCGCCATAACGACGTCTTACGGAATTATTTCAACGGTATAACACGAAGCGCAAATGTGTGCGACGCATTTTCCAATAAGACAGATAGAAAAAAGAATCTCATCAAGCGTTGGTATTACTTGTATAATAATTTTATATACGCAGTGTTTGCTCTTATCTAGGTGATTCAGATAAAATCTAGACAAGTTCTAGATAAGATCTAGACAAAATTATATAGATCATCTGGATAAAATTTTGGCATTATCTCATCTTTATATAGATAATAAAATGTGCATTATCTTCACCTGCATGTTAGATTTAAAAAAGTGTTATCTTTACTAAATTATCTAATAACATTCAGATAAGTTGATGTACATTGCTGCAACGTGTAAAATATTGAAGTATTTACTTCTCAGAGCAAAGCAGACGGCAAACTGCTTTGCTTGGATCGGTAGATTTTCAACAAGCTCAATCGCAACCAAGCTCGCAATTTGTAATGTGAGACCAGCGAGAACCAATCGGAATGCAGCGTTTTAGATCAGACTCCTAGGGTTGCATCCTACTTGGCTCTCGCAAGCAACGTTTGTTCCTTGCGGAAATCGTCTGTCAAACAACATTAACAACATATATTATCTGGAAGTTATCTGGATGAGCCGCCACATAGTTTCATCTTCATCTGATCTAAGATACATTTGCATATCATTATCTCACCTTTATCTAGCTATAAATTTTAAAATCATTTGAGCACAACACCGAATATGCTGCTTGAGAACTTGTGGGCTGACGACAGCACACGATTTGGCTTTTAGTTGCGATCCTCGCGGGACCGCTGCTCTCGGCGCCCCTTGCTTGTTTTGGGAAAAAAATTGCTTTTTTTTTCGATATCGAAAACGGTAATATTTTTGACTGCGATCTTCCACATCGTTTGAATAATTTGAGCGCACGCTTCGACACACCGCGCTTCAACAAATAAAATTCCCGGTATTTGTGATGCAGCCGAAAGAGCGAAAGACGCGAAAGAATTTTTTCCTTCGTGTGCGCGCGCGCGCACGTTTTGTTAAAATTTTCACGGATACGACCTATTTCCGGGCAGCGCAGGTGATTTAGGATGTTTGCCCTCGACAGCAGATTACGATTCAAGGAGACTGCGCCGCTGGTGTGGCGAGCTCGAATGTGCCTGCTTCTCGTCCTGACCTCATTTGAATAATCCATGGATACGTAACGGACGTACATGTCTTTTACGCCGTGTGAACGCGTTCGTATAAAAAAAAAAGGAAGAAAGGGAAAAAAGATGCGCGTGGCGGGGCGCATACGCGATACGCTCACGAAAACGCGACCGCCCGCGTCGCATTCGCAAAACTTTATTCATGTTACCCTCGGAATTACTACGGGCCGAATCTTTCAACACTCGTGGTTTTGCGCAAAAAAAAAATAGAAGTTTATGAATCGAGTTTCCGCTAGAAAAGAGAGAGATTGCGTGGAGTTTTATCGAATATAAAATGTGTATCTATTTTCTCTTTCATTATTTTAAAAGAAAAAAAACCATGAGACAGATGTTACATATTTTAAAATAACATACAGCTTCAAACAACGCGGACCATATGTTTTACTTCACCATTATTTTTATCTCGTACATCTAATCGGATATCGTAGATTTAATTTTGATTCAAATTTGATTAAATCCTATTCACTTTGAAAAACTAAAATATCGGAATTTTTACTTAAATAGAAAAAAAACCATTTAAAGTTTTATGAATCAAATTAGCCGAGTGTGGTTCGGATATCGACATTTTCGACAAGTTAGAAATTAGATTTCATAGAAATGAAATAATTAACGAAATGAGTAATTATTCAAAGTTCTAAAAACACACAAGGCCAAGAAATAATAGATCTAACAAACGAACCTTTAAATAGAGAAAATATTGAACTTCAATACTCTCCGCGTTTAATCGTGCCATATGCAAGATGAAATGTAGGAAAGAGAAAAGTAATATATTTCTTTACTCCTGATCCTTTTATCTTGCGCTACGCTCATTCCATGTTGTCGTCCACGTAAAACCGAAAATCTATTGTCATGAAACAGTAGCGGTGCGGCGTAAAATCGCTGCTTTGCTCAGCGCGTTCGACGAAGTGTGTGCGCGGAATAAGATGTTGCACCGTGGCAAATAACATATCCGTGCAAATATGTTTAATTCACGAAAACAGGTATCTCGCACGAAGAAAAGTTGGGCTCGCGTGATCCGAGGATGGCATTCACGTTACCATCCTCACGTGGGTCTTCCTTTCACCGGGGATTCGATTCGGCCGTAGAAAAGTTCGGCATTTTAAACGCCTCACATCTCGATTCTATCTTGTATATAGGTGCGGCGGCAAATCGAGTTCTGGAAGCCTGAAAGTAGCGAGCGCATGTTTGGCCGCCACTCGTATTCATCAAAGTATCCAAGCGAAACTGGAATACGGGGGCTTCTATGGACGCCAAATTCCGAAAAGTTCTTTAACCGCCCGTAAAAAGAAATGGCAAATAAACGGGAAATTTAATCTCCGAACATAAAGTTGGGCGAAGTTAAACGGAAACTTCGTTAAACGCGTTATTTAATGAGAGACGGGGAAAAATATATTTCCGGGGGGGAAAAAAATATATGGGCCACGTCGCCGGTAATTTAAAGTCCGAAACTGCCATTTCTTTTGTAAACACGCGGCAAACGTAGTCGCGCTAATCTCATTCTAAACAACACACGGCGTTTATTTGCCGGCTTCCGCGTTGTTCTCCATATCGTGTCGGTTACTCAATTTCGCGTGCATTGAATGTTGCACCTGTTTCACGATAACGAAGTTTCAACACTTTATTTAACCAGAAGCGGCGCGAATTATTTAGATCGAAGCATCAGGTACTCGCAGCCGCGAGTTTCCGCCGATGCAACGTTCCGTTGTCTAATTTAATGCTAGCAAACATCATTGTACGCGGCATAATGAATGAAAATAATTAATTACAACGCTACGCTAATGCAGAGTGCACGATTGTTGCAGACTCCGTGTTCTACATCCATCATGTAATAATCCCCGCGGTAAATTATCAGGTAAATTATGGAATACAGATCTGTGTGCGCGTATACATGTGCGCCGAGCATTGGGGAATTCACTTTTCGTTTTGAGCACTTCAAAGATTCCAGGCCATGAAAACTGGCTCCATTGCTGCGTTATCAATCCTCGCTGGATAGAAATCTTTCCATTAACCAGCACGAATCTAGCGTACGAAGGTTTTACACGGTTTACCGTTCGCTGGTTAGCTGGATGCTGCACTCCGTAATGGACATCTCTAAAAAAACAATTGCTAAAAATCATTTCTAAAAACAATAGAATCCGATATGCCAAAAAGCGCGTCCTTCGACGTTTGCAACAGAAAATGATTTAGATATTTCCAACACGTACACATCGATTGCTGGACTATTTTGATATTTTACCTCGGCGTAGTAATTAAATTAATGGATCATTTTAGTTACTCCACCGACAATGAGAATATTTACACGGTATACTGAGAGACATTTTATTATTTTCGACATTCCGTTTCGTTCTTTCAGCATATCATTTCACGAATTAAATAATTAAAATATACACGTAATTAAATTAAATTAAATTTATAAACTCCAATGATTCCTTGACCACGTCTGGCAAATTTTAATGTTTAAACTCACAAGGAACAAAGGGTGAGAGAGATATGTTTGATGTAAAAAAAGGACAACTTACAATTGTATCAAAAGTTCAGTGTGGTAAATTGAAGGAACAGATCATGATTTTCCCAGGATAAAATTTAATTAATTGTGGCAAATTCGAATTTTCGACGAGTCTTTCTTCGTAACAGCGGAACTAGCCAAACGGATAGCTAGGCAGGCGAACAGACAAATGTCCCTGCGCTTACAACGGCGTGAAACAATTGAAAAAAGTGTGAAAGATCGGCAGTGGATTTATTCCTATTTTATTTGTGGCCATTGTACGATATTGCGCGCGATTTGACTTGTCAGTCGGTTATCCATGTTTGAAAGCATAATAGAGGCCTCTAGAAAACAAAGGGATGCGCGTTCTGCTATGGTAAAAGGGGTAAGTGGGCCGCGCGCGCGGATGCATATACGCAGACAGAAGCAATCGGGGCGCCGAAATGCACGAATTCCTGAAAAACACGTTCGCTCGGCTGCGGACAAAGGATCCGCGCGCGTGCGGCTGAGCGCATCACGGGCACGCTTTGTGTCCTCGCGCTTATTTTATCGAACGTGTAATTTAGCCCTGCTGACTCCGTGCACGCACTCTCTCTCTCTCTCTTTCCAGGCGTGGAAGCCAAACTCGGCTTGTTAATGTTTGGTCGATTTTGGCCATGGCCCCAACGAAAATGGGGCACAAAATACCGGAGCCTTATCAAATCCGCAAGCTCGAAAAAAGCCTTACATGTTCCGAAAATGCGACGGTAAAAAGAATAAGAAGTAAAGACGGGGATATTAGTTCGATCTCAGAAAAGTCTACGCTCGGTTCTTCCATCATCAAGATTACGTCCGAGAGTCGGATTCAAAATATCGGAGCCCGCTTCGCGATAGCCTCCCTGCTCGTTAG